CTCAATTATTAAAATACTTAAGTGAGAGCTCAAATGGTCTCATAAAACAATAGTGAGACATTAATTGTGTGTTTTAAAATAGCTAAAATTGGAGTTTATGCTGTAAGTATATGGCTATATTTATGGAGTTCTCCCATTACCATCGTTAAGTCTTACTTTTTAAATTGACTTTCATCAATTGGAAGGCAAATAATTTGACAAACCAGAATGAAGACCCAAACTAGCACAGACTGGTGAGCAACAGTATCAAAGAACTCTTTTCTATAGTGATTTATTTTTTGTTTGCATTGTACAAACATATTCAAGATACACACAGAGCTATAGCAACACAAGGTGGAATATCCCTTCACCTTGACCATGAATAACTCTAAAGTTTCAGACCACCTATTTCTCAAATGTTTCCTATGAAAATTTAATTATAATAAATCTTTATTAATAGATCTAGGTTTGTTTCATAAGCTCAAAAACCCAAAATGTGCTGTACTTATTATAAAACTTGTGTAATGGTCAGTTAAGTTGCAACCTTGTAATATACCCAGCATGTAACTCCCTCCCTACCTCCCTGGTTCCTATAACCGCCGTTCTGCCATTTGGTTCCTTTTATGGGGACCAACTGATCCTAAGACCCTGATCCCTCCCCTTGCAGATTGCTACTTTATAACTCCCTGCAGCCCCCGGCTGCTTCTCTGGGAAAGTGCTGCTGCTGAGCTCAGCTATTAAGGTGCTTCTTTTTAATTTTTGGAGTCCATCATTTTTCTGCCCATATCATTTGGGGGCTCTTCCATCCGGGATTCCACCTTTTACTGGATTTACCCTCCCACTCTCTTTCGATGACATCAGGATCTTTTTGAACGCGAATTCCTTCTACTGCCAAATATGTGTTACTTTCATTTCGCCTGCACTTTTTCCCTTTCCTGTGTCCTGGGTCAAGTTTCCAGGCTTATACCTATTTGGGTGAGACTTTGCCAACATTAAGGCATGTTACTGCCACTTGAGGGAGAAACTGACCTCGCCTGGGTGCACCACGCTTGGGGAGCCAAGTTTACAGGCTTGCTCCCACTTGGTCGGGACATCACGGAACTCTTGTCTTAGCTTCCACGTAGTTTCACTTCTTGTTCTATTCCTGATTCATCTGTTACTGAGAATTCATTTATTTAAGCCAAATCTAATATGTAAACCTTCTAGAAGGTTTTTTTTTTTTTTTATCAGCTGATTAACTCAAGTTAACTAAATTAGCTGATTTTTTGGTGGGGCTATTTAGGTTACTCAATTGAAAAGCATGCTCTTCCCTAGCTATACTGCAGCTAGCAAAAATTTGTTATTTTAAAATCCCTGGGGCAGGTCTGCAATCAACAAATGGGAGAGTGGCCACCTGGTAATTTTAACCAGGTCCTGGTTGCAGAATTGAGGACCTGTTCCAGTCTCCATAGCCCTTCGGGTGATTCTTTGTCTTTGTGACATGCTTCTGCCATTCTGTATTCACTCATCTGTACCCTTGTCCCGCGTGTCTACCAGAATGGGCCAGAGGCTTCCTCCCCTTTGTCACCCTGCAACTTGTTCTTAATCATTTTAAGTATTCTAAAGATCAAGCTGCCAGATATGGAGATACTGTCTACCCTAAGAAGCTAAAAACATTCTATGAACTCAATGTTGATAAAAATATGTTAGTAAGAAGTTACACTGAATTAGACACCATAGAAAAAGTAATTAGTGAATCTGAGCACACATTAATAAATGGTGTCCAAACCAATGAGACATTTTAAACGAAACTCAAAATAATGACAAGAAAAATTAAAGTACCACATGACCTCTCTCCTTTGTGAATTATAGGTATTTTATCCTATAGATAAATTCAAAGAAGAATGATAGTTTATCAGAGGACAGGGAGTGTACAGGAAAGGATGGTGGGCAGAATTGCATCAGTGAATATTATACTGTGATTAAAAAAGAGCCAGAAGTTTTGGTGTACTATTGAAACACTGCTTCATGCCCCATTAAGCATTCTATACCTAGTATTCTATGTTTGGAACAGCACATAACAATGTAACAATAAAAATTTTCTCTTCAAGTTCCTGTTCTTTGAATTTTTCTAGGTAACATATATGGATTGTATGCAAAACTTCAAGACATCACAAAATTTTGCATAAGCAGGTTGAGAATTAAAAATTTTACATCTTTATGTATCAGTTAAAAACTAAACTTAAAATAAAAAACATGCAAAAGATAGTGAGGTTTAAGACAAGTTACAAATGTGTTCTGTTCCAAGGGAACCTTCCTAAGTTTGATTTGTTTGTAAATTCAACTCATTTGTAAGTCCCAGGAAGTCAATGCTCCTAAGTCAGGGACTTACTCTGTTCTACAATGTATATACTGTATACACTTGAAGTCTTCAAATGAATAAAGAGAAGGTTAAGTAGACAAAGAACTAAATCTATACAATTGAAGTTATCTTTTTCAAAATCTGTTAAAACTATAAATGCACACATTCAAAATCTTAACAAAATTCAAGCACAGGAAGATAAAAATTAGTATAAGACTATCTGTATCAACTTGTTTAAAAGCACTGATGTGTGCAATCAGAATGAAAGAATTTATTATTATTGGGAAACAATTACCAATGAGTTTTGTACATTTCTTCACTTCTTCAAAATAAGTCTTTAGATGCTCCTTAAGGTTGACTGTGTTTTCTGTAATATTTTTACAATAAATAGTTTAATCTGCCTCTAAAGCAAGAAAAACTTCAAATATGCTTCTCCTTTTTGTCAGATGGCTTTACAACATATTAATGTTTAACATCCATTATTAAATATTTGGGTTCCCTAAACTCCAGGTTCTCTTGCTGTAACAGACTTGGTGGAAATTTCACTTTGTAGAAATTAGGACTCGGAGACTGGCACAAAAATGTTCATATCTGGCTAGATGTATCTCTCTAATAAATTATCCTTTGTTCTGATGTGTGCACAGCATGTGTTCTTTTTTTCTTTGTCTTGTTCTAAAGGATTGATTATCATTCATATGCATAAAACTTTAAAAGTCACACATTTTAAACTGGAGGAGGAAAAGCAACACTCAGTTTATTAGGAAAAACTGCCTAATCCCAAATCCCTAATCCCAAATAAAGATCACTTCTTGATGAATAAAATACATTTAATCAACAGTACTATGCTGATAACTATCTTAAGGACTGTGGTTTCTTACCTGAGAAGAAACTGCTAAAATGATTCTCCTCAGCATGTGAGAAGACTTGACCTATATAACTCAGAGGTGAAATCAAAACATATTAAATGAACAAAGTAAATTACTTTGTAGAGATAAAGATTTTAAAGAAACTTGGACATTTACATTAATTTTGGCCTCTGGAAAATAATTTGATTTGCAATGTTTTACCTGTTTAATAACACAAATTCCACCTTTGGTTCTTTTGAAGTCTGATATTTGCATCTTAAATTCAAACAACAAATGCTTGTTTCCATATACACAACTACAAAAGCCCCTGACAGCATGTTCCATAAAAGTACTTTTTTTTTAGGTTCATAATTTTAGGTTTATTTAGCTGAGTGTGGTGGCACACACCTATAATTCTAGCACTCAGGAGGCTGAGGAAGGAGGATTGCTGAGAGTTCAAAGCTAGCCTGGGCTACACAATAGTGCAAGGCCAGCCTGAACTGCAAAACCGTATCTCAAAAACAAAAACAAAAGAGTTTAGGTTTATTATAGGCTATGTTTAAGTATGCACATCAATGATATCACATAAAATATTCCAAAGTATTCTTTATTAGGAACTTCAAATATGCTTCTCCTTTTTGTCAGATGGTTTTGCAGCATATTAATGCTCATTTAGGAACTTGAAAGTTGGCTCCTATAAGCATTTTGCATTAGTAGATTACTCCCTCAGAAGAGTATTCACAAGTATTTTGTGTTGTGAATTCTGAGACTCCAGGAAGCAAGGCTCTGGCAGTCCAGATCATCAACATATGTACCATTCATTGATGCCGCTCCTCTGGTTTACCGTGCAGTTACAGGCGCCAAGTCTTCTGCAAAATTTTTGATTACATCTTCTCAGATTCTATATCTGGCCATCCTGGATTAGCTTCTTAGCTTTGTTTTGCTAAACAAGACTTAAGTTTGCAGGACTGATAAGTACTGCAACTTCCATAAGCTTTCACCTCTACATCTTTGATTAATCATATATTATAAATGATTGCTTTCAAAAGCATCCTAAGTCAACTCTGGTTGTGATGTATTTGTTTCTGATGTATTTTTCAAAATTATTTGTTTTTCCTGTCCCTGGAGAAGAACCTGACACACCAAGGACTTTCCTTCAGGATATACTTCTGTCCACATCAAAATTAAGATAATCATGGAAGTTTTACCCAGAAGTTGACCAAACATTTCACTGTTATTTTTGGTATTTCAGTGTGTTTTTTAAGTTCTTTTTTTCTTTTCTTTCCAGCAGAGATTCACATTTGCCAGTTATATCCTTTTAGAGTCATTTGGCTATCAAATCATGGCAGAACTGAACAACGTACATTGATAACCCTTAAGGGTAATACAGATGGATATCTTAAGAAGGTTCCAGAGTGCTGAAATTACAGGTTCATGCCACTGAGCAATTTCTCTACATTTTCACCAATGCCTACTTTACTTTTCCGTCACTGTAGTGAAAATGAAATGTTATCTCATTAAGATTTTGATATGCACTTTCCTGATTTATATTGAGCATCTTTTCATGTGAAACAGACTGTTTAATAGTTTTTGCTTCTTATGAAAACAGATGTCACATCCAGAAACACTTTCAGATCTCAGGTATATTTCTCAGTTCCAAGGTAGTTGTTTTATTGTGCTACTCTTTGCTCTCCAGGACATACTATGTTCCATTTCCTAAAACTGTGCCTGAATATCATACATACCAACGGTTTGATTTGGCTTTGAGTTTTCCATTAAGCCTAAATGCAACAAAATACATGAATGTTTGAAAGTCCTTCAGAAAAATGCTAGCACTAAGATGTTGCTAATGCAAGCATTTTCTCTAACTCCTTTAGCTGGATATTGCCTACAGTAATCATCACCCGGACTGTATCCTCTTCTGTGGCACTTTCATTTCTTTTGAATTCTTCCCTTGTCCAGTTGTTCAGATGTTTAAGATCATACACATTTGGAACTTTCCAGATTGCTTGCAAAATCCTTCTGTAGAAACGGAGAACTTGTTGCCTTCTCAGGAACTGCTTTAGTATCAGTGTACCTTGAGGTAAGCAGGAAACAGCCATGTCATCCAGATGGGATGACATTATGTCTTCTAAGAACATCTATAAGAATGTAGTAGGTGCAAATGCTAGTTTGAAAAACTGAGTGAAATCTTCAGCTTGCATGATCCTTGACAAGTTTTCCAACAAGGCTAGCATACTTCTAGAGCTAAGGCTTTCTGAAAAAGGAAGTTGACAGCTTCACAGACCAATTAATGGGATTTAAAAACAGATTATGATAATCAATAACAAACAGATTAATGGAGATGCATGATTAGTTGGCAATAATTCTCTTTCTTGTTATTGCCTATTAATGAGGGAAGAATTAAGGATGTAATTGAAACCTGAGCACCAGGAATCTGTTTCAAAGACAGATGGTAAAAAGGCATCCTAATTCTCAGGTAACACACATTTCTAACTAACTTGTGCATACTGTAACAGCTAGGATTAAGATGTTTTATCCATCATCCAACCTATAGCCTGGTTTTATTTTCTGTGTTTTTTTTTTCATGATTATAAAAGGAATTATGTTGGGGCACATGTAAAATATGCAACATAGTAATATATTTAATGTGCAAATGAAACAGAACTTCCTTTGTTTTCAAAATATTTTTTGGAAAAGTTCATAAAAGGAGGCTAATGGCTGTTACAGGACAAATGCCATTTGGATAACTATTATAGAGATATGCATCTATATGTAGAATGAAAAGAAGGAATGTATGAATCTATATGAAGCAGCCAGAGGAAAAGTGAGTGTTCTGTTTGGTTCAACTGAGAGTCAAGGTGATGGTGTTTATGTTTCTTAAAGAAGTATAAGAGAAATATTTTAAGGCTCAATAATCCTTCATTCTAACACGTCAAGTTTAGATACATGTAGACATGATAGTGAAAGTCTCAGTTATAGCATTGCTTTTTTGCATTTGGATCCTAACAGCTCTATGAGTGTTTTGGGCTTGAAATATAGCCACCATATATGAGACATTAAGTAGTATTCAAGTTACTACCCTAGATTGGTTATACAAAACGGATCAAAATGACCACTGGAAGAAAGCAAAGCCAACAAAACTGAATGTACACAAGCTTGTGTTATTGTTCCCACCATCTGAAAATAGTTTTAGCGCTAGATTTAAAAATAGGTAAAGCCTTAAAAAATGTTGTTATAATAACTTGTTATTATGTGTAACAGATAAACATGGACTCTAAAATCATTGTCACCATGAAGGCCAAGTCAGGCACAAGGAGCAAAACCCTTGGTGCCATGCTGAAAACCAAGTGATTATGGCTCCAGAATCAAGGAAGACCCAAAGATGAGAATAAATCCTGCCATGTAGAAGACATTTGTTCTTCAGTAGAAAGGTTTGGGGCAATGAAAACATTGATGACAATGCATGACAGGAATCAGAATTAAGATACATTTTTTTTTTCCTGGTAAGAGAGGTATTCTCTCTTTCCGCACCATTTTATTTAAAAGATGATTTTGATGGACTGAACTTATTCCTGATTTTGTGAATAGTGAATATAATATGCATCTGTTCAGTTATGCTGGAGAACTCTGGAGGAAAGAAGGGACTCAAATTTCCTTGAGTCTCTTGGATACAATACTAAATTGCCAGTCTACTTTGTTTCTTAGGAAGAGAAAATTTTTCCGTTAATAGATGGGATCTGGACAAGCTTTGTATGGAGAAAGATGTCAAAGTAACCCTGTGGTTTACAATCAGATGGGTTAATTCAAGGTATTGTGTTTTTCACTGGTTAATATGTAGTTCATAGTGATGTGATTTGTATCTCCTGATCTAAGAAGTGTTAGGCAGAATTCATAAACTATAAAACTTCAAGAAGAAAAATTGAGACAAGCTTTGTGAGTTGGAGTTTTCTCAAATATGTTTGTTCTTCAATAGATAAGTAATAAAATGTAGAAAACAAACAGAAAAAATATTTAGATTGTAGAAAAGAAACTTTAAGATTTCCACCTGGTATATATAAAAAGCCTTCAAAATCAACGTATATATGAGGTCAAGCTACTTAACTTTTTTTTAAAATTTTTAATTTTATTAGTGTGTATTTGTACTTAATGATCATGCACAGTTTGCATATACATTTAACACGTTTTAGTTTTTGTCCTTAATTTCAACTTTTAAATGGGAAAATACATGAAATTTACCAAAGTAGATGCATCAGTGATTAATAAGTACATGAAAACATGCTCAACATTGTTAGTCATTATAGACAAAAAATTGCATTCACAAATGAAAGCCATTTCATATTTGTTTGAAGGTCTTATGTTTAAAAAAACTGAATATAACAGGTAACTATGTAAGGCAATGGAAATTCTCAAACACTAAGTGAAAATAAAAAATGGAACAAACCTTTTACAACATTTTTTTTTAAAAATTGAACATAGATTGTACCATAATATCCACCCCTTCCAGTGCTAGGAACTGTCACAAAAGATATGGAAAAAATATGTGCCTACATTGTCTTCTACATAAATGTTAATAACAGCTTTATAGACAACACCCAAAATCTGTGAACAACCTAAATCTCCATCCTAGGTGAATAAAAAATGATCTGCTATTCAATAATCAAAAATACATAAAATAAGAAAGAAAGAAATTGAAAAAGCAAGCAAGAAAGAAAATAAAGGACAAAGAGAAAAAAGACAAACTAAGGATCCATACAAAATGGAAAAAAAATCTGAATTATGATGAATGAAAAAAGTCAAACCCAAACCTCTGTGATTCTAATTATATAATTTAACAGCACAAAGTACATTCTAGTGACAGAAAGTAGGTCCATGTTTGCTTTGGGGTGGAGAGTGCCTTGATGGAGAGAAAAAATGGCTTTCAAAGAAGCAATAAAGGGCCTTTTTGGTTTGATGATCATGTTCCCTGCATTGATTGACTGTGGTGATGGTTTCATGGGCATATGCACATGAAAAAATGTATCAAATGGCATTCAGATATGCTAGATTTATGTTCTATTAATCATACCTCAGTGATGTAAAAAACAGTTTAGAGGACTGTTTCTTGAAATTTTCATTTTTTCCAATCTTCTCTTTTTTCTTATTAATTAAAAGACTAAAACATCAAAATGTATGTGCACTAAAGTTCTCATTTTGGAACAATTATTCAGTCTCATAACCTGTATTCAATGGGTTTATATCCTTAATTTTATTTTATTGTCACATTGAATTTATTTAAACTAATTTTACAGATATATGTAGGAGTTTTATAAAATTAGCCATCCTAATAGATTTTCTAATTTCCAAATTAGGTGTTGATTTTGTGTTACTTTTACCTCAGATTTTCCATTTTTACACCTACACACACACACACACACACACACACACACACACACACAGAGTAAGTGACTGAGGTCTTGCCTTCAAACCTCTTACCTAATTATATCTATATCTACACCCTGTATCTCTGTGCTTTCTAATTAAGAAAGCACATATTTATTTTGGAAACCAATTCCTCCTCCCACTGTTCTTCTGCATCTCATCCAATATTACCTATTTTTTAAACAGATGTCTTTCTTTTTGTTCCTACCTCAACCTTCCCCATCATAATTTCTCCTACTCCTTTTCATGGATCACTTTCATTAACATTAAATATTATTGTAACATACTAAAAATAATCCTCTTTTTTTAGTCCCACATTCACCTGAAGTACGGCTCATCATTTTTTCTCAAATTATTACAACCAAATAAGGATACATTTTAAAAAATCATTGCTGTGCTAGCTGTGCTTCTCTAGTTTTTTTCAGCAGTCTTCTCCTTCGTCCTAATAGACTCATCCTCCACCAAACCTTAGCACTGCTCTGAGATAGATTACCAGTGAAATTCACAGGTCAGTTTATTACCTAACTCTTCTGTTTCTCTCAAAAGTATTTTGCTGCTACTTTGAAATATTTTGCTTGGCTCTCAAGACAAAAGTGTCCTCCTCTCACACACCTAATCTAGCCTTCGATTCTTTTTTTAACTCTTTTTACTCTTCCTCACCTCTATATGTAAGAGACGATGGTGGTCTTTTTAAATATGCTTTGAATCCTGTTTCTTTTTTTTTTTTCAATCTTTATGCTAATAGCACTAACGACACTGTGTTCAGAATGACCTAGTTTTTGGCCACAAGATCACACATACAGCTTCCTACTTACTTAACATTGCTGCTTGAGTGTCATATAGGCATTTTAAATTTAGCAGGTCGGACACAGAATTTTTTATTATCATTAACTAACCCTCTTTCTTCATCTGTTTGTTCTCCAAGAATCTCCAGCTCTGTAAATTACATCACCAACTAGTTAGAGTTCAGTTCTCAAAATTCAGAGAGAAATTTGAATCTTACTTTTATCCAATGTATCAGTATTTCTTCATAATTTACTTTCTAGTATACTGCTCTTTATTTATACTGTCAGTGACCTTATTTTTCACTCCAACTAGAGAGTAAATCTTTTTTTTTTCTTTTTTTAAGGAAACTGTATTGGTTCATTTTAGATATACATAATGATAACATTCATCATAGAGAATTTGTACCTGTTCATGATGCAATGTCCTTCTTTTCCCCATTCCCCTTCCCTCCATTCAACCTGCCTTCTTTTCTTATTTACAAGAGCTTTGTTTCCATTTTTTCTTTATTTTTCCTTTATCTCTCCCCTCTTCCTTGATTCTTTCCTGTTTGAACATTGTCTTCCCACCTCTCAATGTCTATTATACATTTTGTTCCTAATTCACACTTCTAGTTTCTCACATCAGAGAAACAATGTAATGTTTAAACATGTGTGTCCATTTATTTCACTTAATAGTATGGTTTTAAGATGCATATGTTTACCTGGAAATGTCTCCAGGACAATGTTTTTGTTGATCTCTTGTTTTTAACTTCTAACTTTTCATAAAGATTTTTTTATCCAATAAACAGTGAGCTTCTAAAATAAAATAGCCATAAAGATATGCTACTATGAACAGCATCAAGGAATTTCCACAGATCCTCTATATTAGCTCTGTCTCTCTCTGCAAGAAAAGTAAT